GCTGCTCCCCCATCAGGGGGAGGTGAACAAAGAGCAGGCCAATCAGTTCATGCCAGAGACAGTCCCTTTTCACATTATTATGGAACCCACTTGAACACTGAACTGCCATGGGCTACATCTGTGCAGGGGTTCTAGATTATCTCCATGAATGGTTCTTGTTTGGAGTATCAGTCTCAGAAAAGGCCCCTGTGCCCAGATTTTTTGGTTCTGTTGCTCTCCTTGTGGAGCTCCTGTCCTCTCCAGGTCTTATTATCTCATGCTTCTTTCACAAGATTCCATGCACTCCACCCAAAGTTTGGCTAAAAGTTCTCAGCATCTGCTCTGATACCCTGCAGGATAGAGCCTTTCAGGTGCCCTCTGTGGTAGACTCCTGCCCTGTTCCCTGTTTTCTCCTTCTTCTGATCTCCATCCTCTTTGCCTTTCTGAATGGGGTTTAAGCATCTTAGCCAGAGTCCTCCTTCTTGATTAGTTTCTTTAGGTGTTCAGATTTTAATATGTTTATCCTATATTATATATCTAATATCCACTTATGAGTGAGTATATTCCCTGTGTGTCTTTTTGCTTTTGTGATACCTCACTTAGGATGATATTTTCCAGTTCCCACCATTAGCCTGGAAATTTCATGATTTCCTTGTTTTTTATTGCTGAGTAATATTCCATTGTATAGATGTACCACAATTTCTGTATCCATTCTTCAGTTGAGGGGCATCTGGGTTGTTTCCAGCTTCTGGGTATTACAAATAAGGCTGCTACAAACATGGTTGAGCAAATGTCCTTATTGTGTACTTGAGCATATTTTGGATATATGCCTAAGAGTGGTATAGCTGGATCTTGAAGAAGTGCTATTCCTAATTATCTGCTAAAGTGCCAGATTGATTTCCAAAGTGGTTGTACAAATTTGCATTCCCACCAGCAGTGGAAGAGGATTTCCCTTTCTCCACATCCTCTCCAGCATGTGTTGTCACTTGAGTTTTTTATCTTAGCCATTCTAGTGGGTGTAAGGTTTTAAGCTATGTACATGTCCTTTGGAAACTAATGGGATTTTAAGTAGAATAATATATACTGAGGCAGAGATCTGGAGTGGTAAGGAATCCTAGGAATGCTTCTTTCAGTCTGTAAGGATCTGATTAGTTCTATATGTGAGTAGTGAAGGAGTCTGGACCTAGTACTTCTCTTCTCCCCTTCTTCTACATTTTTCTCCGTATCCTCTTTCCCTTCTTTTTCTTCTTCCTCACCTTCTTCCTCTTCCTCTTCTTCTAGTCATATTCAATGGGAAGTATATATAACAAGTTCAATGTGCTTCGTGCTTGTTTCCAGCTAATCCAGGACTGGCCCCAGTCTCACAGGTAGTAGGAAGTATCTCTCACTAAGCTACAACCCTAACCATACAGATCTTCTTAAATGTACCTATGGAAATAAAATCCAGCCACAGCAATCTTGTCATGAGGAAAATGTCTAAGAAAAACTGAAGACCCCTGACAGACAGACTTTGTTCTCTGCACTGCATAAGCCTGTCCACTCAAGTTTACCCAAGACTGCCTGTGATGTCTAAAAAAGCCAGTGGGATTTGCTGAAGTGCTAAGTATATAAAGCAGTAACTCAGGGTGTTTATTCTGTACTTTAATTATCATTTTATGAATATACTAAGTCAAAGCAATATCTGTGTATGACTACCAAGGTAATTGAAATTCCCAATAAAAAGTCAAAATAAAGGAGGGAGCTACAGCTGGGATAAAAAATGAATAAACTATAATTAGTAAAAAAAAAATAAAAATATCTTCACAAAAGCATGGTGCTAACTATATACATCTCAGCTATAAAGGAAAGGATGGATCACATTTGTCTTCTGGACGTCATTGAAATAAATCAGATTTATTTAAAAAAAAACAACAACTTGTAACATTTGTTATATTTTGACAAACATTAGAATTGCAGAAAGGTCACAAAGACACTATAAAGTTTCCCACATAACCAGTTCTGCTTCCCCTGATGTAATTATCTTTCATTTTGTGTAAGTCATCTAAACTTCAGAAGTAAACATTGTAATGTTACTGTTAGTTATTTAAATTCTACCACCTAAAATCTTGTGTATACTCAGATCCAAAATACTGTATTCCATGAAATAGTTTTCTCCCTTCCCTCACTGGATATTTTTCAGCTGTTTGTAAGCATTTTTAATGAAGACAAATGGGATTTTCAGACTTGCAAAGTAATTGTCATCTTAAATACTCCTTTAATATTCTGGAAGGTTTGAGGATATTTCCTGACTCTGTTCAAAGTTTAATGCTAGCAATCAGTGAAACTTATTAGATCAGTAACTTAGAGGAAATACACACTGTAAATCATAGTATAAAATATCACTGTACATGGTTTGTAGTGGGCAAAGGCTAAAAGACCAAAATAAAATCTAGACTAATGAAATATGTTAGGAAGATTTGAAAGGCAGATTAAGAAATGTGGCGTAACTAAACACTTTGTAATGTGTGTGTGTGTGTGTGTGTGTGTGTGTGTGTGTGTATGTATATATGCATATGTATGTATTTATATCTATATACATATGTTGTTCTTCTCTTGCCTGTACATGCACTGCCTCCCACCGCTCTGGTTAATGCCTATGTCTGATTGGCTCAAATAGGTACTATACTATTTTGCAAGTGACTGGGGACCCCTACCCCCAGAAAAGGATAATTATGGGGCTATATTATCTATGAAAAGTTTTAAAAGACTGGCAGAATATGAAGGTGGCCTGAAACAGGCAGAATCAAATGGAAATGAAATCAAATGAAACATATGTTTATGTTTACAGAAAAAAATGTGTTACCTCAATGAAGAATGGATAAAATCAGATGATTAATAATTAATTTGAAAAACAATTGAGGATTTCATTTACCTCAAATTCAATATGAGGCATGGGGGTTACATGCCTAGAAAAATTCAGTTTTGGCAAAAGGGTCTCAATCTTGTTCTAGTTTACATAGGATAAAACATCCTTCCATTATTATTTAGTGATAGATTGTTGTTTGAAGGGCACCATACTAAGTATCTCAAATTGTGTAGCCAACATTACATATGCTTCCTTACATTGGAAACTAATGTATTTTAGTATAACAAAAATTGGAAATGAGAAAAGCACAATGAGGAAATCCAACATTACATTTTCTCTTCCTATTAACTGGAACTAGCCTATAAAAATAAATTCATATAACAACTAAAATTGTGATTCCCAGAGGAGGACAGTCCCACCGCAAATCATTGGCCCATTCAGAAACCACTTCTGTGGAGATAGTCATTCCTAAACTTTTAAACAAGATATTAATAAAGTTATATAACTTCTTTGGTAAAAATACCTATGTGTGTGTGACTCTATTTTATATATTTACTTGTAAGTGGTAACATATAATACTGACAAACTCAGGAGGGACAGAGCTTGAGTCTAGCAGTCCAAGGGCTGCATGAGAAAAAGTAACAAGACTCCACTCAAACTATACTTTCCAATAATGTTTTCACAAGTCTGACTAACAAGAAACAACTATAAAAAGGCAGTTAATCCAAAGGACACCAGAAAACAAAAGCTTTATTGTCTTCAGATTTTTGACCCTAGGGCAAAATAGCAGGAGGCTACCTACACCCTCTCACTATCTCTTCCAAGATAGATAAAGTTGTGTATCTTAAAGGCTAAGCAAAGCTTACTTACATGACTAGGTTAGCCATAAAATATTGTTGAAGAAGTAATTTACCATTTTAACCAAATTCCTTCTAGTCAGAGTTAAAACTGAAAAAAAATAATTAAAGCAGTTTTTATACTGTTATATAATAATAATTTCATTTACTGAATTAACAGTTATTTTGAGTCCTTAAAGCAATTTAGATCATGTTATTTCATTGTCTATAAGACTGCATTTAATGCATGAGCTATATCTTGCTTAAGTAATGCCCACATTTGTAAATGTTAACTATATTTCAATAGTTTTATTATAAATAAGAATACATATTTTCAAATCCTTTCAATAATTTAAAGCTAGTGTTACATATTCCCAATTTCTTTCCAACAAGTCTGAAATAATTTGTACCTCCTTTTATGTCCTACCAAAGTTTGAGAGGTTTAGTTCCTGCACCTGCGGAGCTCAGCTGTAGGTTTTACACAGGTGCTTTATCTATGTGGCCCCACACCATATTGATTTATTGTGCGTATTTATATCAAGTATGTGGTGGATGATATTATGTACCATGATAAAAAAAAATGTGACCTTCTCTCTATGATGTTTATGGTATAATTAAGGCTACAGAAGATTAAGGAATCAAATAAACTCAGCCACTAATTCAATGACCTCAATAATTTGGAAATAAAGCCAGAAACAACCGTGGTCCAAGAGATAAACTGCTAACACAAAAGCTCGTAGTCTGGGCTGGTGATGTCGATCAGTTGGTAGAGTGCTTGAAAAGCAAACACAAAGCCTCGGTTCATTCCCCAGGGCACACAGCTGCAGTTCTGGCACTTCAGAGGTGAAGCCGGAAGCTCAGGAGTTCAAAGCAACCTCAATGGCAACACAGCGTACATGCAAATCTGTCTCAAAGTCTTAGTTTCTTATCCCCTTTCCTTAAAACTTACTCCAGAATGTTCACCTTGTGGGCCTCTGTTATCTCACCAACCAGTTGTTGGCCTGCCTCTTTTCCTTCTTATAGCACATGCTTCCTTTAATGGCACTTGATCTGTCAGAGCTGTAACAGTGTCCGCAGTGCTGACCCAGGCCTTACACCATAAACCAGAGCCTCATCCAGCAGAAATCCAGCCTTTTCCTTGAAATCTATGCCTCTTCCTTTTTTTGGACCAGGTTACAGGAGCTAGAATTTAACTGACTCCTAACTTAATCCCCCTAATTTAGACTGAAAGAAAAAAAAAGGAACAAAGAAATAAAGAAAAACAAAGAAAGGAAGGAAGGAAAGAAGGAAGGAAGGAAGGAAATTAAACCCAAGTTTTATCATGCTTACTAAGTCCCCACCTAACCATCTCTGCCAGATCTCTTGGCGTTGGCATCCTGGCCCCGATGCAGGTGTAGAGTGCGCCGTAGCGCCCTTTTGACCTCTTGGTTGCGCAAGCAGTAAATGATGGGATTGAGCAATGGTACAATGACAGCGTAGAGTACGGAGACAAGCTTGTTGGTGTCGAAAGCTGAGAGTGCCTTGGGCCTGGCATAGATGAAGATACTGGCTGCATAGAAGATGATCACAACAGTGAGGTGGGAGGCACAGGTGGAAAAGGCTTTATGGCGGCCAGCAGCTGAGGGGATGCGCATCACAGCACCGGTGATGGCCAAGTAGGAGGCTCCAGTGACGGACAGCGGCCCCAACAGAATGAAAATAGCCAGGATAAAATCTGTAAGCTCTGCTGTGGACATGTCAGTGCATGAGAGGTTGAGCAATGGAGAAACATCACAGAAAAAGTGGTTGATGATGTTGGGGCCGCAGTAAGACAGGCGAGAAATGAGGAAAACTTTAACCATGGAGATGCCAAAACCTCCAGCCCAGGATCCAGCTGCCATCTGCACACACAGTCGGCTACTGACAATGACAGGGTAGTGGAGGGGGTGACAGATAGCCACATAGCGGTCATAAGCCATCACAGCAAGAAGGACACACTCAGTGCAGCCCAAGCCCAGGAAAAAGTAGAGCTGTGTCATGCAGCCCTCGAAGGAGATCAGCTGCCCATGGTTCTGTCTGGAACCAATGAAGCCAGCAAGCATCTTAGGAATCGTAACAGTGACATACCAAATCTCCAGGAATGACATATTAGCCAAGAAAAAATACATGGGTTTGTGGAGGGTTGGGTGTGTCCTAATTGCTGTAATGATTAGTGCATTCTCAGTCAGCACCAACACGTAGGCCAGGGGAGAAGGGAAAACAGCAGTGCTCGTAGTGCTGCAGGAGCTGGGAAACCCAGCAACACAAAATCACTCACTTGCCCACTGTGGTTCCTCTGCTCCATGCTGTCTTGTTCACTGCTTCTTAAGAGATGAGACCAAAGTGTCTTATGAAAGCAGCAGCAAAAAGAGCCTCACTTGGTGAGCTTGCTCTGGTAGGCTGCAAGGCTTGTGGTACATGCAATTAGTAACACTCAATGAGCTGAGTAATAAACCAAGAAAACACAGACAAAAATAACTGACTATTACACACGCTGTAAGAGATGGCTTGGCCTTTAGAGGAGCATGCACTGAAAAAATACCAGGGGGGGAAAATACATCAGTCCCAATGTCTGTCTTTTACTCCTATACAAAGGCAAGAAGAAAAAATCAAAGTCATAAATGTTGATGGTGCAAATATAGAACTGATGCATTTTTTAAAATTAATTAAACAAACACCAAACTTAAAAAAAAGTGGTAGGATATTTAGAGTTTCCTAAGGTGGGAATTTATCATAGTCTGGATGAAATCTCCTATCTGAGGAAGTAAGTTACACAATGAAGAAATAGCAATCCTGTATAACACAACTGAGTAACTACTGTGTGCTAATAGTGTAGGCATTGTTTTAAAATATTTGTAGTACTACTGGCTATTCAGAACAACTCTGAGATGATGCCACTAATAATCCCACTTATGCCCAAGGAAACTGGCATATAACAATGCTAACAGCAGGGCTGAGATGATGGCTCAGCAGTTGGGAACACTGGCTGTTCTTCCACAGGACCAGGTTCAATTCTCAGCACCCACATGTCTGTTCACAGTGTCTATAATTCCAGTGTCATGGAATCCAATGCTCTCTTCTCGGCTCCATGGGTACAAGGCACGCACATGGTGAACAGGCACAGATGTAGCCAAAAAAAAACAAAACCAAAACAAAACAAAACAAAAACCATACACGTAAAATTAAATAATAAGAAAAAATTATAAAAGGAAAAATTAAGTGACTTGCTTAGTCACAGAAATTTTACAAAGTGGAACCAGGAATTTGGGACTAGAGAAACTGTGAAATATTCAGGTAACATATATTATGAGTTTACATTCAAGAAAAGAATCTTTGAGTTCAACCAGGAGTGTAACCTTTCCCTGTAAAGAAGGGAGGCTAATGCATAAAACCAACGATTACCTTCTTATTTTAAAAATTGGAAAATAAAATCATTGTAAACTACAAATTGTCTACACCTATGATTTGTCCCCTAAAGTTCAAATTGTCAGATTTTACTTATCTATTTAGAACCCATCCATAACGTCCTGTTAGCTCCAGAATGACCTTCAAACTCTTTAACAAAGTATACAGCTATTTCAGCATCTTCCACTGCTTTCACCAAAACATTCTATTTTGTCATGGTGTTCAGTGTATTTCTGAAGCAGAAGTTTCTGTGTCTGTGTCACTGCACAGCTCTGCTCCTGCTGCAATCTCCATCAACACAGCTGACTCAATCTTTGTTTGAGAAGCATGTCTTCCTATGAACACTATTTATCCTTCTATCATTCCTATACCCCTTATAGGGCTGGCAGTGTGGCTCTGATTTACTGTTGCCATTAAAACCTTCACATACCATCACTGCTTTTTACTCAGGTGGATTATAAAAAGAAGCAATGTATCTGGAGTGGCTCATTTGTTCTTACTTGTACAGCAAAGGATAGACATAACTCTCTGGATGTCATTTGAATGTAATATATGTCATAAAATATACATATAAATATGAACTGAACTTTTCCAAACCTTTTTATGACAATGAGTGGCATGTTACTTAAGTTAGGGATCTGAACATTTTCTAGATTGTTTTCATAATTATCTTCCTGTTACCCTATATCCACTCATATTTAGCCCAGAAACTATCTAAGCTGCCTCCTCATTGTTTATGCTTATCTCTCTGCATCTCATCCTTATTTCTTACATCTGCAGCATTTCTCCTGTCCTGTTTCTATTACCTTCATCCTGGTCCCTCATATCAGGTCTTTTTTAACTTCTTGATTTCATAGCCTTTCACTTGTTCCCTTTTCTTCCCACCTGAACACTAGGCATTTTAACACCTGATTGATTGTTTCTAGAATGAAATTTATGCAGAAGTAACTAACAATGAAACTTTCCAGCTTAGGGAAACACATCCAAATCCTTCCAATAAAGTTTTAAAGGGTATTTTCTTTTCACTTTTCCATCATAGTCTGTCACTGATTTCTCTTTCTAAGCCAGCCATGATGTTCTTCCACTTTGTGACTTGGCTCATATACTTTTCACTGCCCGAACACTGGAGCTCTCACAAAGAATCTTTATCATTCACATTCAGTCCCTGTTGTCCCTCCAAAGATGTCCATATTTGACTTACAGGAATTATAATGGGATGTGTTTGTTTAACCTTCTGACACCATTTCGTATGTGGGGTTTTTAGTTAATTATTAGCAAAGATAATGTAACTGCTGGATGAGAAATGAAGGAAGATAACACACGGATAGAACAGAAAAAGTGAAGATGGAAGGAATGGAAAACAGTGCAGGTGAAATACATGAATAATTTGTGTGGAAATGACCATCTATGTAGAGAATGTAAATAGATCTTCAAGATATTTGACACCTTTGTAAGTCTGCATTGATTTTAGCCCTTAGAGACTCAGAGAAAACAACTCCACTAGTGGGGTCCCAGCACTGGTGGGTAGCCTCACACCCACACAAACACGGGCAGCACCAGCTGGGTTTTGTGGGTAACAAAAAAAGACATGAAATTTAGAGGGGTCCATGTAGGGGAACTGAAGAAGAAAATGGCGTGGATATGGTTATTTTTCATTGCATACCTGTATACAATTCTCAAGAATAAAGAGAAATACAATTAAAAGACATGAAGTTAAGATTAAGTACAGGCACAGTAGAACTTCTCTAGAGAAAGAGTAAGACCTTTAGATGTATGGGTAAATCATGCTCAACTTACAGAAACTGTTAATTATAAAAGATTATGTGATGATTCCTGGAATGTGGAAACTATGGAGTAGAAGTGAGAGGCCATAAGGGCTGTGGGGGGGGGGGCAAGCATAATGTGAATAAACGATAACAAGCTTTTAGTAGAAAAGAAAGAAACCACCGTCAACAAAAAGTACCAGAAAGAGATAACATTAACTGGACTTTGGAATTTTATTGGGTTTAAAGAGGAAAAGTTAGGTGGGCATTCTTTATAAAAATAAATGAATGATTGGAGAATTGACCCTTTGAAGAAGAATTAGCACACGATAGAATCTACTTACTTTCTCTTCTGTCCTTAACTTATCAGAATTATTCTAAGATGGTGATGTTAGCTAGAAGAGGACTTAGGGAATAAAGGAAGAAACAAGGTAACAGGAAAAATAAAGCTGCTGTGGAGACTCCTCCTTCTCTTCCTTCCATGATCAGGGAACTCTAATAAACCAGGAAAGATTCCTCTATACACTACCTCCCTTCTCTAGTCCAGATTCCTCCCTCCTCCTTCTGATGCTTTGGGATGGTATTGAAGCAGGAGCCCAAGAGACCAGAAGTGTTACAAGATTAAAAAAAAAAAAAGACTAAGATAAATTACATAGAAAGAAAATGCCTGGCAACCATGGGCAATAGTTTATTAGAAAAGTTATATAAAGGAGATGGTTTTCTAATTCTCCCACAGACTTATAGCTTCTCCCTTGGGCCTCTCACTGATTGGCAGTTTTTATTTCTTTCTTGTTTGATGTATTTTTGCTCAAAATGATGCCACGAGCTTTGAACCAGGCCAATCTGGGTATCTTGAGAACTTTACATTTCTTCTTTGAACTTTATAATCTTCTTCTATGTAATAATATTAACATCCCATGAAGTTATTGAGGGAATAAATATAACAGAGCCATGTTATGACTCATCTGTACTCAAATGTATAGTCAAGTTATTCAAAGCTGGCATGCCTCAGAGACACACACACATCCATGTTTACTGAAGCACTATTCACAATAGTCCAAAATATGAAACCAGTACAGATGCCCATCACAGATGAATATATAGAGAGAAAACGTGGTATGTATGAAATAGAGTTTTAGTCAGCCATAAAAATAATGATATAGTTTATTTGAATAAAAATTTGTGGGGTAGAGACCATAATGTTAAAAAAATTAAGTTTGAACCAGAAAGACAAAAAAGGCATATTTTATGTGTAGAATCTAGATTTTAACACACACATGAACACACACATATACATTTATATATGTACATATACACACATATATACATTCATAATGTGTACATACAGATAAATATACACACATACAAGTGTGTTTGTGTAAGTAAAAAAGTGACTATTTGGGAAGAGAAAGGGAGAGAACTGGAGGTAAAGGCAACAGAATATAATGCAGAAATAGATGTAGGTAAAGTTTCATGTATACATGTCCATTGTTTCATACAATGAAATGATACAAATAATATTTTAAACTAAAAATAAGAAAAATAAGAGACCACCTAGAGCATGACAAGGATTCAACACTACTGGGCTGTCTTCTGACCCTATGACTCCTTACTCCTAAATTCAGTCACAAAAGATGCTCTAAATTGAGACTGAGATTTCCAGAGTTTAGTCATTTGTTTATAGTTTATACTTTACCCATCTGGAGGTTTGTGATACATGTTTATTTTCTCTGAAATGATAATGATATATTTTAGGTGCTGGGAATTAATTGAAATTATGAAAGGGCTTAGCACAGTCACTGTTAAGTCATGTGATACAGAAGCTGATGATGTGAGGTCCCAGTCACATGCCAGTGCTAAAGACATATGACCTTGACAAAATTATCCAAACTCCATGGCTCTGTGGTCTCATCTGCAGTATATGGAATGTATGACCCAAGCACTTTTCTGAATCCAGTTGTAGAGAACAAATGAGTTAGCATATGAATGGAAGTTTCTTAGACTCAGCATCTGGAGCACAGGGTTACTATTAGAGAAACATTTGCTGAATCTAATGTGTTGATTTTGGAGAGATGAAATATTAGTTGGAATATGGAAATGTAAAAGAAAAATCTTTCAGATTTGGAGTTTAAGTGGA